ATATTTTTTTTTAAAAAAAATGAGGATTTAACAAAATAACAGAGTTGGAAGGGATCTCTGAGGTCTTTTAGTCCGACATCCTTTACTCAAGCAGGAAATTCTATACTATTCCAGACAAATGGCTGTGCGGTCTCTTCTTGAAAACCTCCATTTTTGGAGCAACCACAACTTCTGGTGGCAAGCTGTTCCACTGGCGAATTGTCCTCACTGTTAGAAAGTTTCTCCTTAATTCCAAGTTGCTTCTCTCCATTTTTTTTTTTTTTGTCCACTGAACCTCTTACTGTTCGTAATAGGAAGAAATGCTTTAAAATGTTCGAATTTGCATTTTGCATTTGAATTTTAAAACGCAGATCAAAATGCAGATCAAAATAAAAAAAATCGAATGAAAACAGAAGATGTGTGTACAGCCTTTCCTTTTGTCGCTACTTAATGATAGAAATAAGAGAGTAGAGCAATGAGGAAGAGAAACAAAGAGCCAGCAGAGTTTATAGCTAATGATGAATAGGGCAGATTTCATTTTCTAACTTTTGACTTGTAGTTAGCTATTAAGGTCAAATGCAAACACATGATGCCGGTAATAAAACATGACAGTATTGATATGTGAATATTAAAAGAAAGATCTCTTGATTCAGCAGTTTGTTAATACAGCTATAAATCCTTCCGTACCGAAGACATGCAACCTCCTCTCCATGCGTGGAAATCTTTTGAGAGCGTCCCATTTGCATAGTGATACCTGCTTTAAGAGGGACGCGGTGGCTCAGTGGCTAAGATGCTGAGCTTGTCGATCAGAAAGTTCAGCGGTTCAAATCTCTAGTGCCGTGTAACGGGGTGAATTCCCCTTACTTGTCCCAGTTTCTGCTAACCTAGCAGTCCGAAAGCATGTAAAAATGCAAGTANTCTTTCATTTGTAACAATCCTTATTTCCTTGAATTCATAATTATCTATCAAATAACAATAAGTCTTTAAAGTATTATAATATCACCTATCTCCAGGGAGAAAGAGCGGAGATTAGAACAAAGAATTCCCGTTAATTTATAATATACATTCATATTTTCAATTGGCCATAATGCCACCAATCATCCAGAGTTCGAAGAGTAGTTCTCCATTATTAATTATTAATCCATCTAGTGGCTAAGTATTTCAAATCACATGTATATCAATTGTTCATTACATCATTATTGATCCATTTAATATACAAAGATCTTTCTAATATAAAATGGTCACTACATACAATTATACCAAAGTGTTCAAATCATCCTTGGGATTTTTATACTAGAAACAGGAAAGGTTTTTGGTTTTTTTAACAGATTAAGAACTGCTTGTTTCTACTTTGCAAACGGACATTTTTGCCGTCTTTCTTTTATTTCCTTGACCGCTGGATGTGGTCGGTTTCTCCATTGAAATTTTGCCACACTCAAGTACAATTAACATCAATATATATTTTTTAAACTTAAAAAAAACAACTCAGGGAAATTGAGGCTTTTAATCTTTTGGGCCATGTCCCTTTCTTCATTTCATCTCGATTTTATTATTTATTCCTTTTGTTTTTGCACCACCGGCAGTAAAAATATCTTGTGATTCAGTTTGGGATTGCTATGGTGGGGAAAGGGGTAAATTATTCAATCTTGCATCATTTAGACTACAGTTCGCACAGTTAAGGTAAAGGTAAAAGTTCCCCTCGCACATATATGCTAGTCGTTCCTGACTTTAGGGGGCGGTGCTCATCTGTTTCAAAGCCAAAAAGCCAGTGCTGTCCAGACATCTTCGTGGTCATGTGGCCGGCATGACTAAAGGCGCACGGAATGCTGTTACCTTCCCACCAAGGGTGGTTCCTATTTTTTCTACTTGCATTTTTTACTTGCTTTTGAACTGCTAGGTTGGCAGAAGCTGGGACAAGTAACGGGCGCTCACTCTTTGACGCAGTGCTAGGGATTCGAACTGCCGAACCTCCAACCTTTCTGACCGAAAAGCTCAGCGTCTTAGCCACGTCCCTTATCTCTTAGTAGAGTCTAAAGCAGGCTCTAGTAGTACAGTTCCACAGTCTCTTGGTAGAATCTAGAATCTAAAGAGGACTAAGGTTTGGAGTGCCCTGGGGAATTCACTCTGCCTCCTTCCTGATAGGTTTACTGTTGTGGCCCAGCAGGAGTCGTTGGAGCTGCCACCAGACTCCGACAGCGAGGGGCCCTATGAGTCGGCTTTAGAGGATGTGGAGGATCCTGGACAGGGTTCCAACTCCGAGCAGGGCGCAGAGAGGCTG